AATTTATAAAATTCTCGGGTAACAACGAATACCACATCAAGGCTCCCCTCGTGAGAGTGTCTCCATATTTCTTCAGCCAAACATATTCAATCTCGTGAGAAGCTAAATCATTCCCCTTCACCGCCGTTGTATAGGTGGTAATATGCTCCTGAAGGTCTGAAGTTCCGTCATACTTTGGCACATCAGGCATTTTAAACCTCTTCGGGATTAATTCTGGTGTCACGCTTGGCTTGTATAGCAGCTGAGTATACTTCTTTGAGTCCGGACCTTTCAGCACCGGTGGCGCGCCTGGGATTTGGTTAATGCGGGCATTCACTTCCCTCATAAACCGTAAGAGTTCATTCTTGAAGGGATCGCTTTCGTTATTGGGGCCGAATCCGCTCTCCCCAGCCCTATCGGAGCCAACTTCGTCCTTCGGGGTGTTGTTGTCGACCCTCTGCATTGTTTTATTCGCGGGAGCACCGGGAGGAACTGGACCTCGTCTATTCGCGTTATTTGAAGCCCCCGACAGTGCCCCCTTCAACTCCGTCATAACTTTATCCTACCGCGTGAGGTTGCCTAGAATGATCGCTTGTTGTTTTTGTAGGACCTTTACCGCATCAACAACATGCTCCTCTTCAGCCTCATCGGGAGTTGCCTCCTGTCATGGACCAGCGTGGCATCGTTTCCCTCATTGTGAGTGTCATTGACTGAATCCTCAAGATGAGGCTGGTCTCCCTGAACCTCAAGATTGTGTGTGTTGTTAACACCATTATCTGCCATTTCTTATGATTTTTTGCTAAGATAAATAACCAAAACACGTTAGTAAAAAAGTCAAGGATCAACTTAACTACACGGCTGTCTAGGTCCCACGGTGGGTGTCAAACTGTTTATCCGTAAAACGGTACTGTTGAATTTATACGTGATTTCTAGACAAGTGAGTTAATTTGATCCTGAAATAATGAAATAATTAAAGAAATGCACAATACTTAGTCTTGAAATGAAAATAAAATCACGAAGAACCATGATTCGGGAGTAGAGCTTTCGGGCACATCAGTGATGAAACCAAGGAATAAGAAAGTAAAATTGTATGAAGCTTTTTATTGATTATAGCGTAAGTTTGCCAAGAAAATCGTGTCCTTTACAATGATAACAAAGCTCACTATTTATAGCTGCACCTAGGGAACAATGTCCTAAGATCATGTCCTTCTTTAATGTCAATTATGAGGGACATTGAAGAAGGTGTAATTGTGAGCATAAATTATCTGTAACGGGCAGCGCACTAAATGCTGTGGAATATTCTCCATTAAATGCTACCGGACGGAGGGTATTTATTGTATCTTTATGAGCGTTATTCTTTTCATTGATAGACGGGACAATTACCTTTGGTTTTAGCTATCCCCGTCTTAAGTTGCACGTGTCACTCTTTTGGATGGCCACGAAGCATACCACGTTTTACCTTATACAAAGTAAATAAAAAAATATAACTCCACCGTGCACAAAAGGTTAATCTCACCAAAGGTTGATCTTGAACTAAGGCTGGCATGTGGGCCGGGCCCAGTCCTAAGTGGGCTTCGTGGGCCGGTCCTAGATGGGCCCGGTCCCAACTTAAACAGGCATAAGTGGGCCTTGGCTTCGCGGGCTTTTTGTTGGAACCGGCCCGGGACCGGGCCCATGAACTAATGGTCCCGGGCTAAATGGGTCGGTCCCGGGCTAAATGGGTCCAAGTGAGCCTAAGGAGACCCAACAGATACTTTCTATTTTTTTAAAATTTTATAGAAGTTAGAAAAAAAAAACGGTAATAAAAATATCTAAGGCAATTCCTTGTAAATTATATTATAGAATTGTGACCTAAATTTTTTAATTCAAATTTAAAGACAAAAATATTGTAAAGAGATATTCAAAGCAATGCGTTATAATTTTATTATAGCATTAAAAAAATATGTCAATATCTTTCTTGGTTTTCCTCTCCCCTATGGAATGAGCACAACAAGGTGCTAACACCACTATTAAGAAGAAAAAGAAACTAATTAAGAACTACCAAAATGCAAGTTACATATTAATTTTTGTTCATACAAGTTACATGGTATCTCTTACAAATTTCATAAATCCTTCAAGGTCCGGAGGATTTTTCGTTGGTGGTGGCGGAAAAGAAGCTTGGTCATCACCGCTTCCGGGTGAAACAACATCCTCCGCAAGTTCAACTAGCATTTCTTCGTAAGCTTCATTTACCTCTGGTTGTGATTTAGCAAGTCCAAAATTTTTTCTTTCTGAACGGATCCAATCTCTGAAAAATACTGATTTTTCCAAGCTCTCCCTCATAGACGCTCTATAATCACCGAGTTAAAGTCTTGCTTGACCGTTTATGCCCGCTAGGACTGTTTGGGCCCATTTGGGACCGTTTAGGCCCACTAGGACCGGTCCGGTCCCGGTGCCGGTCCCAAACGGTTCGGTCTCGCGGGCCTCAAGCTAAGGACCGGCCTACTTGCCAGGCCCACCTCCCCCGGTCTCGGTCTTAAACGGTTCAGCCCGTTTAGGTCCATTATCCACATAAATTGCGGTCGTGGATCGGTTCCGGTCCTGGACCGGCACACTTGCCGGCCTTAACCTGAACAACGAAGATTTTAAAAAAGATGTCTACTCGACCCCAAAAAGAAATGAAAGAAAAGAGAGTAGCACTTGATACTTTTTTATTTGAAAAAATATAGCTTTTGATGGAAACATGTTAGCAGAGAATTCATAAATAAACAAAATCAAGGTGTGAATCAAAAATAATGATAAGGCGCATATTGGGACACACCAAAGCGTGCAAATAAATGCAAGTCAGTAGTGGTAATCACTTTATATCACCGAAAGCAGAGTCAGCTATGCAATGTGTGTTTGTGTAGCCGTCAGCCAGACGAATGTGTTTCAATTTATGTAAACTTAATTAAAATACTGTATAAGGATAAATTATTTTTAAATAAGAAAAGTCAATTTTTTTTTGCAGGGTTCATATAAATTGAAACGAATAAGTATTACTTTTGTCCAGACAGGAGTATTTGTATTAAAGGGTCACTATTTTGGAATCTATTCGATTGATTCAATTAAGTAAAATTGTTTAAACTTTAAATTTTAAATTCATCTTTCGGACAACTGTTGTGTGCGCGTAGCCCATTACAAACAACAAAACTTTAGTACACAATGATCCTCATTATTCAAGACTTTATGACTCTTGAGGTGATCAATCCAAGCCATGCATTATCGTACTATCTGAAAAATGGACAGATAGGATTGGGACGCTTTCGTTAGTCGGCGAATCCCCCATTTTCCTCTCTAGATCTAATTAAAAGGCCTTACTATTGTATTTTCTCCTTTTCAATTGGAGGGACTAAAGTAATGCAAAAGGGTGTATAGCTGTCATTATAATTTATTTAAATAAAACATGAATTATAATTGTGTGAAATAATGTATCTTACTATCAACTTTAGAAAGAATGTTGGGTAAGTTTAAAGAAAACTATTTTGTGACTTAAATCCTCCTAAACAATGTTCCAATTTTCCAATATCAGTTTTCACAAAACATTTATAAACCCTATGGATACATCCAATTTAGTACAAGACGATCGAGGTGGTTTTTATCAATGGGTTCATTTGATTCAGAACCACAAAGGCAACATCAAGAATTGATTGCAATAATTGCCTTGCTCTTTACGGAGAAAAAAAATAAAAAATAATATGTCTAAATATGTTTTTTTTTTAAAGTGTTGATTATAAAATAGAGGAATTGGGGCCGCAAATGCACACTCTCATTGCAACAAAAGAATAATGATCACTGGTATGCCATGCCATAACTAATTATAACATGAATGCAAGCAAAGTACTAAATCATACACCTCGATGATTCTCTATAATTAATTTCTGTTTATAGGCTTTGAAAATTTTCATTCCCTGTTGAAACTAATTAACATTTTTCCCTTTGTAAAGACCTGAACTCACTTCTGTATATTTTTACCATACAACATAATCTTAACCCAAAAATAAAATCACTCTATTTTTCCAATTTATAAGACATTCTTTACATTTTGGGGTGCTCCAAAATTTTTGACCTCTAGTTTAGTAGAACTTTCACAAATTCATTAAACAATTGACATTCTAAATTTGGTGTAATGTTTATTCTCTGTTCAGCCGTAACTACATTATTATCTTTAGTCAGCACTAATAAATTATATATGTCAAATTAACATCTTAAATTTTGTGTATAATCAAACATCACCACATAAAATAAAACAGATATAACGACAATAATAAAAGGAGGCGATATTAATATAACTAGTCAATGCAGTGCCAATTTGGTAAATCCTTTGCTGCTACTCCTACTACAATTCAAGCATGCTACGAAATTTAACTTTGAGACTTGAATTCATAGGATTCACACTTATTCACATTATTATCTTTACTTGAGGATGACAGTCTATTTTCTTCCCTTTTGGATATTCGCGTCTCATTGATTATGTGATAAAGTACTACTTTCACCATTTTTTGGGTTTTCACCCCCCCTCCCCCCATATTTACTTGTATTAAAGTTCGAGTAAATTTGAATTTGTGTCGCCCATATTAGGACTCGACTAAATTATTCGTCGAGAAGTTCCACGTTGGGGGTAAAACGTTCCCTAACAAATGTGATTTCATACCCAAGGGCTCGAGAACTCTGATTAAAAATAAAGGAGTACTTACTAATCCACCACAACCTAGTGTTATTCACCCTTACTAAGTAATCCCATGCCGTTAGGTGTGGCTTACCTTTCAACATATGATAATATCACATATGAACAGTTTAAGCAGCTACGAGAAAAAAGTTTTTGGATACTGAACAAGACCTGCTCACGCGTGTTGCTCTATGTTGACTTAATTCAGTGGCTTGGTAATTTTGTGGGAGACCATAATTATGGGAATCATAGCAGAGGAGTCAATTAAAGAACATGCACTAGTACTAGTGTTGTACTTTCTTACAAAACTATTTCTTGAATATTCTAAGTTTTTTCTAATGCTTCCTCTATAAATTGAGCAAGGACTAAGCTTTATTCATCTCATCCAATTTTCTCTTCTTCTCTATTGAAGCAAAGCAACAAAAATGAAGGCAGCATCAAAACTTGCAGTTTTCACAGTTCTAGTATTGCTTCTTGCTGAAGCACACATCTCTGTAGCTGTAACATGCAGTGCAATTCAGCTAAGCCCTTGCCTTGGCGCGATCACATCGAACTCACCACCGTCTGGACTCTGCTGCAGCAAGATCAGAGAACAAAAGCCTTGCCTCTGCCAATATCTAAAGAATCCAAATTTAAGGAACTATGTCAACTCCCCTGGTGCCAAAAAAGTCGCTCGCACTTGTGGTGTTCCCTATCCCAAATGTTAATGCAACATTTTCTACATCTGAAGGACTATCAGTCTATCCATATCCTGCTTCTTGCTATGTGTTTTATGGGTTGGGAGTGAAAACTTAGATGTTAGATGTCTCATGAGAGTTACTGTGTGTGCTATGATCTTCACTCTTTGTTTAGTTTTGTGTCTTTGCTTGCTTTATTTACGCACCCTTGAATGAAAAGAGATGAACCCATGCTACTTTAATATCAATGCTATTAATATGTACAAGTTCTGTCATAAGATTTCCCAAGACAATATGTGGTAGTCTTCTTGGCCTTTGATTTACTTGGACTAAATGATAAAAAAAATTATTGTTTGAGTTAACTTGCAAGTTCCCAACTCGGGTGAGATCCAGTTCTTCGTACCGATGTGCTGCTTGTAAACTCTGTAACAGCCACCATTTCTTTCTTATTCAAGAACGAGAACTTCCCAAAAATAGGACATGAATAAATAAGAGAGATAATAAGACTATAAGAGGACTTTTGGAGAAAGACAGGCACGAGAAAACTCAAAAGAGGGAATTGTAAGTGGAAAAAGAAAACAAATAAGTGGACTCAAAATACTTCAGGGAAAAGTAATCGCCTTTGTAATTGAATGCAATAAGTCAACCAAAGTGGAGTTTTTGTTAAATCCACAGTGGGGAACAATACTAAAATTTGTTGCTGGGACCTAAAATTAAACTCAAAATGGACCATGTTACCTTATCATCATTCTAGATGAAATTACAGCTCCATACCTAATTGTTGGAGGATTAGCAAGTAAGCATAACAAATCCCTCAGTTTCCAATTTCTTTTTTCTGTCTTCCTTTTCCCTGCTATGTGCACTAAGTTGTATTAGCAGTAGCTAGCCATGATATTTTTCTCATAGAACAACATGTATGTTTGTGCAGCAAATCTGTGTAGGTGGATAGTGAACAAGTACTAATCTAATACAGATATCACAATTTCAATTGAATTCTTTATTCAGAAAATGAAGCTGCATGATGTGATACCTCAAATTCTAATTCTTCATACTGTTCTAAATTTAATCAGTGCTGGAACAACTTCGGAGGCTCCAAAATTGGGAGGCTCCAGAGTTTCATATAATCAATTTACTTACAAAAAGAATCTAAGCTTCTTAGATATGAAGGAGGTCGGAAATTTGGTTCCAGCCAGCGAACCACGGCCTCCTATCCGATGGAAGGACAAAATTAAGCTCAAACATCTCTCTTGACATGTTCCCTCCTTCACAGAAACCTACGAGCTTTGCCACTATCTCGGCGCTCTCATGTACATGCTTTGCATCATGCGGATTTGTCCAAAGCTTGTTAATAAATTGCATTCTCCTTTGTTTTCCCTCCAAAGGAACTTCCCATTTTATGTACAGATAATCTCTTTCTTCAGCTGTCAGACGGGTAGTCAATCTCTTGGCAAGAAATTCCCTTTCCCTCTTCAAAGCTCTAATGCTGTTATCCCATTGGTAAATGTGATATTGTCAGAATTTGAGCATGAGCCGGGCTTGCATTAATAAAGACTCTATGCACACATAAATAGAACATGAGGAAAGAGAGGAAAAGAAAAATACCTTGATGACAAAGAGACTGTTGGCTCATTTCCAACACGAGCCGGGGTTGCATTTCCAAGCTCAGCCAGGTGCTGTTGTAACCATGTCAAGCGCCTGAGTTCAACTTCCAGATATATTTCATCAGCAGGGTCTCCCTTAAATAACAGATAGAACTGTGACCTATGAATAATGGAAACGTAGCAAACATCCCATAAGTCAATAATTTGCTGCCTCTGTTCCTTAAATGTGATTTGCCATGAAACTGGGGACTCTTCGGGGATCTGATGAATGTTTTCATCATCCTCTAAATTGTATCCAGCCGCTTCATTTGCTTCCAGCTCAAGCACCTACAGGCACAAACAAGTAATAAAGTAAAATTCAAGAAGTTGCGGCAAAGGGATAAACTATATGCCTGAAATTTTGAATAACTTCAAGTAGTGCACCAGAAACAAAGAGAATCCAAGCTTTACCTGGCATACGAGGAGCTGCTTTTGGTATTGAAGCTTGGCCACCCGTTCTTTAAGTTCTGTCACATATGATCTTATGTTTCTGACGTTCTCTTCTGCTGCCTCTTGAAACATCTTCTGCATTTTTCTCATGTTTACAGAACTGGAACGGCGATATGGAGTGCCTTCCTTTGATGAAACATCTCCTCCATCACTTTTTGTAGGAGTCTCATCCGGCTGAATTTCACTGGACAAATCATCCGAATCTGGAGCTCTATTTTCAACCTCACAATCCAGTACTTGTCGTGCGGTTGATAGAGGAGAACAAGGAGATTTCAAGAAATTTTGCCTGTTGATACTGTTGCTCGAGGTCAATGGAAGCAGCTTCTTCTTTTTTGATGGATGCTTCGCCTTTTGTGTGGTGTCATTGTTTGACTGTTGATCATTATTGCTTGGAAGAGACATAACCAGTTTGTCTAGTGATTTCTGAACATTTTCTAGCTGTTCTTCAAGATCAGCAATTGTGCTTCCTTGTGAGTGAAGTCTGGCTATCTCTTCCTTCAGGTTGGCACTGACACTCTTATTGACAGCAACAACACTTCCAACTTCAACTTCTTTGGGAAGTGGCCGTATAGAACGCATTTCTCTGATCTCTGCTTGTAGCTTAGCAATAGTTTCTGCAGCATCTTGGTTACCTAGCCTATGACATGCAACTTCCTTTTGCAGTACTTCCAATGCTCGATTTGCTTCATCTCCAAGCTGCTCCTGGAGATGTTCGAGTTTTCGAATTTCATGCATGAGAGTAAAAGGGGCAGCTAAAGACTGCCTCATTGACTGCCTTCCCATTGTGTTTCTTGTTCTTCCACTACGGACAGGTGCTTTTTCTTCAAGGTTTGGAGATAATGTGCCGGAGAATGAGAGACATTTCTTCACAACCGGACTAACAGATTCAGATGGCTTCGGTCCCTGCTTCAGGGATTCAATGTTAGCATACAGAGACCTTTACTTTACTCAGAGTTGCAAGACAAGATGACTTAGATACAAACCTGTTCTTCCTGAAGCTTTCTGCGTAACTCATCTACTTGTGACTGTGCAAGATCCCTTTGACGCTTCAGCTCCTCGATTTCCATTTCCATCTAAAAGGGCCAGTCAATTAGTCAAATAAATATTACTAACACTTAAATGTCATACTCTTAAAAGAAATTCATCGTTAATGAACCTGTTGAATTTTCCAATCTTTCTCATTAGCCGGGTCTGGGGTGCGCAGCTCTGCTTCCAACCTGGCTACTTCCTTCTGCAGATGCTTGACAAGCTGTTTGTCGGATACAACCTGATAGGAAAGACAGAAGTTCAATATTAGTGTTAAAACTTAAAAAGATAAAATGACGTACAACTCATAAAAGACGTATATTCGTAATAAGGTAATAAGGCTAGTTACTAGAAGTACCATGTTCACTTGGGCATTATTCGTGACTTCCTTTGCTCGGGTGGCAAAGTAGAGAGTATTGCGAGATTGTTCGACGTGACTAGACGCAGGGCTGAGAGTGCATATTATCGCAGTACGGGCGTTCCCACCAAGTGAATGTTGCAATATTCTTGTCAGCTTTGAGTCTCGGTAGGGTATATGACCACTTCTTTTGCCCACACTACATATAGGAAAAACAATAGAAATGAACCAATCTGAATGGAGAATTTCAACGTAATGACAGAATAAAGTGATAAGTTATCAACTGCAGCAAGCTGCTATAGACAGGCATGTCCTCAACGCAAAGAATGAGTTAACTTTTAGCACAGAACTAAAGTAGCAAAAAAATATTTGCCCATGCTTTATACACTGTACAGCGAACAGGGATGATGAGATAACTTCAATAAAGAACTAAAGCACAATATTATCCATGCTGTTTTCCATCAGTCAAGCTGTCATATAAGTGGTTACAGACCTGAGCTTTCTAATTACGGTTGTGAGAGTCATCAAACTAAGATTGATATGGCAGCCTTCCCTAAGCCTGGCACCATCTGCATTTGTCTGTGAGGCTCTTTCACTCCCAGCCAAATCTACGAAGTTCTGCAGCACAGAAATATTAATGATTAAGGTAATGAGTCTATCGCTCACAAGTGTCCTCTAAAACAATCAAGATGGAGGTTCATTTACCAAGCTTGCTACATAAGACCTCACGCAATCAGAACTTTCACGAAGAGTGCTTTCTATTGTCTACATTGTGATAAAAAGTAGCAATAGTCAGTGTGAAAAAAATTGTTGCTAAGGGCATTTCAATAGGGGAACACAAAAATTTCGGACTCAATTGAGGACTGACCAGTCTTATTATCTGGTGAGATCGCGAGCTTGTATCATTTAAGGCAGTTTCTCCTACTTGCCTCTGAGCTGCAGATTTAAGAATGTTAGTACATTTTGAAGAAGGCTGCGCCGGGAACAACTAATTGCATAAATAAAGCAATTTCACTTTGAAAGAATCAAATTCTTACCCTCACAGATACTAATTAAATGTCTCAGGTGTTGGTCATTGCTTGCTGTTTCTTCCACCAATTTCTCAACGACAGTTCCTTTCTGCAAATCAAAAGGATACCATGTAAGATTGATACAAGAGAGTGAAGGCTATAAAATTTGAAGGTCCGTTAATTTTAGCTTAAGTATACCTCCGGATCATCAAGAAGCTTGAGACTGCGACCAGATTCAGAATTCAATAGGTCCCTGACATTTTCATTGTAGATCTCCAGTCCAGATATTCTTATTCTAAACTCTCTTTCTGGGGTCTATGACAACAATGTCAAATAACAAAAAAAAGAAAAGAAAAAACTAATCAGAAGCAGTTCCAAGGATAATTGCACTTCCAAAGACCGTCAATTTTTTTGTTTTATTTCAAGTTAAACAAACTACGTAGTATAAAGATGTAGAATTTATAGAAAAGACAAGGATGAAACAGGAACTACTTGACTTATCACTTACACTCATTATATGTGCATATATGTCGTTTACAGCTTTCTCGGTAATTCCCCTCATTGTGTAAGTCTTCCCACTGCTGGTTTGTCCATACGCAAATATAGTTGCTGAGATGCAAAAAATCCACGATTAAAATGTTTCCCAAAAGCTTGACTTATTTATATAAAAACCTACTT